CGTTGCTGGATTGCTCAGCAGAACAATACGACATCCTCCTTCATAAATCTCTCCATCAACTAGTCACATGGGGAAAGGCACCACACCTCTCGTTATTTGGAAGAGCACTGGTCTTGAACGGAACTCTGTTCGGCCTGCTGTGGTTTGTGGGCACAGTCAGGAAAATCGGAGACCATACCTGCAAACAACTAAGGAGGAGGGCGGCGAGATTTATCTAGAAACCCTTTGCTAAGGAAAAAGATAATTTTATCACCAAGGTGGCCTGGGAGATGCTGTGCCTCCCTATAACAGACGGGGGACTAGGGATGCGAGACCCGACAAACCAAAATGAAGCAATGCTGGTGAAGTGGGTGGTGAGAGCTTGCCTAGAAACACCAGTTCCTCACTGGGTGCACTTGGCAGAGAAGATCTTGACAGATAAATGGAACCTATCAAGGACGACCGATGTTTGGATGTGTGTCTTTCTGTATTCATTCCAGAGAAGGAGGATCAAATCACCTCTCTGGAGAAAATTGGTACAGGCGTGGAGGAAACTAAGACCGAACGTTTGGGTGGAGCCTGCTACAAAAGGAGAAGTGCTCACACAACCAATTTTCGAAAATCCGAGAATAAGAGGAGAAGACGATCGGTGGCTGAGTGCAGAACCTCATAGCATGAGAAGGAAGTGGATAGAGCGAGGGACATTGAGAATCAGAGACATCTGGAATGCCTTCTCGAAAAATTGGCAGACAACTGAGGAGGTGAAAGCTCGATTGGGACAAACGAGACAGGTGGAAAAGAAATTGACATTGGTTATTGAGGCCATTCCGGACGAATGGAAGAAACTAATGGCCCCATATGCAGTCGATCCACCGGGAACTTGGTACATTCAAGAGAATCAGAAAGAAAGAAAACTGTGGGAACTCCAGGAGATCCACCCCAACGGGGAAAAAATCTTTCAAGGCTAATAAATGAGTAAGGGGAACCAACGAATTACAGAAAGGGAGGAAGGGAACCCAGTGCAGGGATCTGCTCTTTCCCAAGTACGGGTCATCTCATAAGGCTCGACCCCAAGGGTCCTGTTTGCAGAAGGGAAGCCGATCTCAGTAATGAGGACGGACCCAGGAATGTGGGAATGACAGGCACAGGGTAGAGGAGGAGAGAGGGTAACCCTGCTAAACTATACACACCAGCTGGGATATAAGCTGATCATACCATTCAAGTACCCAGAGACAGTGGCACAGACTAGGTGGATGCGACTGTTAAAACTGGATCCGGAACAAATTGGAGATGCATTGAAGAAATGTTGGGAACAGTTAAAACTGATTCCTTGCCAAAGACAGACCTCTATGTTGTGGTTATTGTCAATGGTGGCGACACCATCGACAGTATGGCTAACAAAGCATGGGGTGAAGGTAGATTTGACATGTACCAGATGTCAATGGGCTTTCGAATCAACAGTCCACCTATGGTGGGACTGTCCGACGTCAACTAGAATATGGAGGTGGTGGGAGAAATTTTGGGAAGAATGCACAAGTGGCTCGTTCCCGTGGACTAAGACATGGATGTTGTTGGGAGGAGTTCATGACAACTTCGCAGTATCGAAAGGCTGGGGCTATGTTGCTCAAGTGGCACGAGCGGTGGGATGCACGGTGATTTGGCAAGAAAGGAATGATAGAGTGTTTAGAGGAAATGAATGGACAAATAAGCAGATGCGAGCGACATTCACTCAGCTATTGAGAAGAGCTATACTGGCGGATTGGAGAAGAAAGGTAACCAAAAGTGGAAACAGCGAAGTAGGGATGAAATGGTTTCAGGGGACGTGGGGGATCGGTTGTAGGATGACAAAGATAGTAGCAGGGAAAGTGGTCGTAGGGGACTGGTTCACGAAAGAGATGAGATAGTTGGAAAAGATGTACAAAGACCTGAGCACTCGGTTGGCAGGTCTTGGAACAGTCGCGGGAGACAGGCAGAGGGAAAGAAAGAGGAAGGAGTGCTGGTTCAAAAACCGTCGAGGCTAGACGGATTAGCAGAACACAAAATGGGTAGGAGATCAAGACATAAGTAGAAGAGATAGGAGTAAGGGTTTAAGGATTGTCTATCAGTTTTTTGAGGACCTTTTCTTGTTCTGGGCTGTTTGGTTTTGTGGGCCCTGGAGGCAATTTTGTTTTCTTTTGCTCAGAGAGGGAAAGTCAGGACAGAGGTCCATGGGACCGGAACTGTTCATAGTTTGAAGTACCCCTCTGAAGCCTAAGCTAAGCTGGCTGATGCTGTCAGTAGGTTCTTCCGGGTTGAATTGTGAGGATCCCTGGCCTCNTGTCCGGGTGGACGACTTCGGGAAGTAGGTCTATTGTCACGCCCATACATTTCCGGCGCAAATCCTGAAAAAGAACCGAATATCGTGGACTGGTGGGATCCCATTTCTCTTTTATGGTCCGCCCGGAACGGGCCCTACAAAACCGTTCTTTTTCGTGTCTTTCCAAAAAGAATAGAGGTGGGATCTGACTCTTAGTCCCAACGCTAGCAGACTGTGTCTAGCAGACAAAGGAAAGGCAAGCACTCTACATGCAAAGCCCTGGAAGAAATCCCATTACTAGCACAAAGAAAGCAAATGAGCTGATAAAGGTGATAGTCTACACTCATTTTTAGTTGGTACGTTGTGACATTAGGAAGGTTGGTAGAGATAACTTTCCGCAGGCAAGAGCCTGTAAGCTAAGCTGGCTGATGCTGTCAGTACCCCGGGTAGAATTGTGAGGTCCCTCGCCACCATTGTGTTCCTTTTATAATGGATTTAGTCGCTTGTGAGAAAAAAAAAAAGAAAAAAAAAAGAAAAAAAAAAGCCCCTGAAAGATGTGGGTAGATCGGAATGCCCCTCTGACGAATAGAAAAATTTGTGAAATACCCCTCGCGTTGGTTGTACCCCCCATCTTTGTGATATAACCCTGCCGGGTACCATCCAACTTTGCAAAATACCCAGAACGGCAAGGACCAGATCGCAAATTTGCACAGTTGCAAAAGGCCATGCCCAAACGGCAAGGTCCAGATTTGCACACCTGCCTGACAGGGGCATAACACAAGGAATTCGGCCCAAAAGGGCATTCCGCTCCACCCACATCTTTCAGGAGCATTTTGGCATATATCTCAACTTATGGGTGTATTTCGCAAATATTCCACCAAAAAAAGGATGCATTTGAGAGGAAAGCTCCAGAAACCAATGAATGCGCCGTGTCCTGGAAGCCGTGCGAACGGTAAAATGTGTCTTCCACGACTGGATGGGATAGGCCCGGTGGATTGGTGGCCGTCAGATCGCCTAAGGCCGATCTTCGTCCGTTGTAGCTAACTGCGGGAGGGTAGGCGGGAGAGATCCAGCGCGAGATCAATCTACAGCCATGCGATCACATCCGATCTCCCAATGAACTCAACGCGTAAATCTCCGCCGCGGACGTGTTTCTAACCGTTGTTCTCTTGTTTTCGTTTGTTTTCGTTTTTCTCTCCTCCCGCCGTTCTCCGCTCTCCCTGCTTGTCCGTCTTGGCGGGAGGTGGCGCCGGCGGCTTTTGCTACCGCGCGCGTCGCCTTCGTTGTTTTAGGGGCCAATTGGCGCGGTCCGTTGGCCCCCTCTTGCCACCCTCCGAACCCCCTACGGGCTGGGAGAGAGGTCCAACGTGCTCACCCGTACCTCTCACCTGGTGTGCGCAGGCGCCGGTCCTTGCCGCCTCGTGCCTGTCTGAGCGGTTCGATGCGACGCCGGCGACGTAGCCTGCCCGGCTGCCACTTTGTGCTTGTGCAGTTGAGTATACATTGCAGTTCCCTAGGAACGGCGGAGTCATACACATTCTGCTTTGACACTCAGAGATCACAACTTGTACTCGGGATCTTTTGGAAGTTGGTTACCATTCGCTCTTCCTGGAAGACGATCGCGTTGCGACATTTGCTCTGTTGCTTCTGTTAGATGCGTGCGTTCTACTATTTGATTATCGAGTCAATACGGAGTTGCCTGACGTGGATGCATGCACAGAGCGAACGCCTGATTGGTGGTGAATACCGGTATCATTTTCTATTGCGTTTGGCCTGTGCTGGGGAGGAAGGGGCGGTCGAGGAAAGACGGACGGGGACGACGGGGAAATTGGGGGACCGATTTCAAACAATCGGTATCTATGTGCAGGAACTATTGGAAGCGCTTGGAAAATTGGTCTTCAGGAGTTTCTTCAGACTGCTTCTTTGGGTGGATTTCCGGGAAGCTACTGTGCTCATTGCTTGTTGTGTTCATCTTTTTTTCACGGAGGTGTCTCATCTATCATCTTCGACCATACAATAACCTTTCTCCTCATCCTTACTATTTGCTAAACTATCACTTGCACTCTGACCGTATCTGAATCTGAATGTTACTCTTCGCTATTTTCTGGACAATCACTTGCACTCATTCATTTCTCGTCTGATGCATAATCTGCTCCATTGTGGAATCCTCCCATTTGCTTCGTATTCATGGTTGTTTGACTCATCTTGGATGTCAGTTGGCTGGCCACTGGTTGTACTTCGCTGGTCGTCCTCAATCTGTCGGTTTTGTGTTTGATTTCGTCTCGGCTTCCATAGAGTACCTTTCTTTCTGCATATCTGATGTGACGGCATCTTTACTCATTGATTACTTCATTGTGTAGTCTGTTTTTTTGGTTTTTTGTGTTTTTTTTCCTTTTGAGTTTGTTTTTCGATTTATTTCATTTGTCGTTCGATGGATTTGCATTCAAATTGATTCATATATATATTTTTATTATTCTTTACAGAACATTCTTTTATCTTTACATGTTTTGTTATGTCATTTTTTCACTTTACATTATTTTTCCCGATTTCTGTCGACGTATTTTCGAGTTTTTTTTTTTTTAATTTTGTGACGCGGTTTCGATCTTCCGCCATCGGCGCCGAGAGAGCTCGTGCATATTGACGGGTTTGCTGTTTCAGGTGAATCTTTTGATTCACTCGCTGCGGAGTCCTATGTTCTTGTAACTCGTTAACCACTGTGCGGGAGACGGGGATCCATATCCATCGCGCATCTCGTTCAACGAGTTCTTTCGGAGCTCGTTCTGTCTGGTAGAAAGCGAAAAATGGCTTTCAACACGCCTGTCAAGTCGAACTGCATGTGCGGCCGTGCGGCCGAGAGACGCATGATGGATGAGCGTCCGTCGTCGCCGTTCCTCAAGAGAGCTCTCACTTCATCTCCTATGAGAAAGGGGACGCCGCAGGTGAGTCGAATGTCGTTGGATGGTATATCGTGTGTTCGTTCTTCTTTCCTCACTTTCGTCTTCTTTCAGTTTCTTGTCGACGGGGAGCCAGGAGTGATTAGCTGGAGCGGGAGGGGTGAGGAGGGTTGGAATGTGCGTGTTGGAGGCACAGGGAAGGTCTATGAAAAAGGGCGTAAGTCGCAGTTTGGAGGGCACGTGATAGCATGAGCGAGAGGGATGGAAACGAGGGGATGGCGAATGGGGAGAGGTATGGAAGAGGGGGAATGGGTGAGGAGGGAGAGGGGTATGTGGGAGCGTAAACGCGAAGGGGATGCCGCAGGTAAGTCGAATGTCGCTGGATGGTATCTCATGTCTTCGCTCTTCTTTCCTGACTGTCCTCATCTCCTCTCAGAGTCTTGTCGACGGGGAGCCAGGAGTGAATATGGCCCGTCGGAAAGGGTGACGGGGATCAGACCCTGCTTCTGTCTCGGAGGCAACGGGGAGGTATATGGGAAGTGCATAGAGGTGTGTGTTTGACGGGCACGGAACAGCATATGGGGGGGGGATGGAAAATAGGGGATGGATTCGGCGAAGAGGGAGAGAGATGGAAGAGGGGACGGGCGAGGAGGAAGAGGGATATGTGAGGGAGTAAACGCGAAGTGAAGAGAGTGAGGTTCGTAGAGGGACGGACGGAGGTAAGGGATGGGAAAAAGATAAGGGATGGGAGAGACCGGGGGGACGATAGAGGAAAGGAGTGCAGACTGATGGGAGGGAGGCGGGGAGAGACGGTGTAGGGATGGTGGATGGCGAGGGGCGGAAAGTGGGAGGAGCGGTGGGAGGCGAGGGGCGGAAAGTGGAAACGCGAGAGGAGCTAGGGGGTTAATGAGAGAGGGTGGAGAGAGAGCAGGAAGAGTGAATGGGATGGAGGGGTTGGGAACGGAGCGGGGCAGACGATGCCAATGTGGGTGGGGGGGGAGAGGAGAGCTGGGAGAGTGAAAGAGTGCTAGTTGCAGAGGACGAGTGGCGGGAAGGGATAAGGTCGAGGACGGAAGAGCTGCGATTTGTCTGTTCGCTGCCAGGTTTTTTTTTTTTTTTTTAAATTTGTTTTTTTGGGACAGTTCAGTATGCTTTACTTTCTTTTGTGCTAAACAGGTGCATCTTGATATGGATGAAGAATGAAATGAAAGGCCTGCCATTGTTGCGAGATGCTGATTCTGTGCCTTGTGTGTGCTGTGCTGTGCAGTGCGATCGTTTCATTCCGAACAGGAGTGCGATGAATCCTGATGTTGCGCGGCTGAACCTGATGACGGAAACGAAGGAGAATTCGTCCGGTGCTTCGTTGAATGGGGCGATGRTTGCGTCGCCGTGCGGGAAGGGTGAGGATTATAAGAAGCATCTGTCGGAGAATTTGCTTAATGAGAATGTGGTGGGCGAGCACACRAGAATTTTGACCTTTAAGAGTAAGGCTCCGCCGGCGGCGGCTGCGGACATGGGTTTCGAGAACGCCGTGCTATACTCCCAGAACGGGTTTTCAACGACGAAATCCAGGCGCTCGTTTCGGCACATTCCGCAGGCGCCAGAGAGGATATTGGATGCGCCTGATCTCCTGGACGATTACTACCTTAACCTGCTGGATTGGAGCGGGGACAATGTAGTGGCGGTGGCACTTGGGGCGGTTGTGTATCTGTGGGATGCTGGTACGGGCACGATAGAGCAGCTGACACAGCCCTTGGCGGCCGATGATTACGTGACCAGCGTATCGTGGGCTTCGGACGGGCGGCACATCGCCGTCGGGCTCAACAGCACCAATGTGCAGTTATGGGATGCCACGCGATTAAAGATGATCAGGACTATGGGCGGGCACAGTGCGCGTGTTGGCAGTCTGGCCTGGAACGGGCACTTGCTCAGCAGCGGTGGTCGAGACAACAACATCATAAACCATGATGTTAGAATCAGGGAGCACCTAGTGTCCAGGTTTTGTGCGCATGAACAGGAGGTGTGTGGATTGAAATGGTCGCCTTCCGGGCAGCAGCTGGCTAGCGGCGGGAATGACAATATGCTGTACGTGTGGGATGCGTCGGCCATCTCCTCTGCTCAGTCCAACGCTTCCAGGTATTTGCACCGCCTCGATCAGCACCTTGCGGCCGTCAAGGCATTAGCTTGGTGTCCTTTCCAGGGCAACCTGCTGGCCTCGGGCGGCGGGACCGCAGACCGGTGCATCAAGTTCTGGAACACTCACACTGGCGTGTGCCTGAACAGTATTGACACTCACTCGCAGGTCTGCGCGCTTCAGTGGTCCAGGCACGAGAAGGAGATCCTCAGCTCCCATGGGTATAGCCAAAACCAGCTCTGCCTATGGAAGTACCCGACAATGGCGAAGATGGCGGAATTGACGGGTCACACTGCACGCGTGCTTCACCTCGCCCAGAGTCCGGACGGATATTCCGTGGTCTCCGGGGCTGCCGATGAGACGCTCCGCTTCTGGAAGGTGTTTGGAGCTCCAGATTCAGGTAAGCGAGCCAGCAAGCCCAAGGGAGAGGCCTCTGGCGTTCGTTGCATTAACAACATCAGGTAGGTTGGSGTGGGTAGCAGCAGGGAGATCAACGGGTGGCCTCAGTCAGTCGTGGGCACGGAAATGGGTCGCCGTAAAAAGAAGGGGTCGGTGTAAAAAGCAAGGACAGACAGGTAGGTGCCGTCCCCGGCGATTGGGCAGGAGCGGCTGCGTGATCCGTGTTCCTGTGCCCATGGGCTAACTAAACGACGGCGAGAAGCCTTGCGACGATGGATGCCGAATAACAGTTTTTGTGCTGTGCCATATTCGCCCTCTTCGTGTCAGGAACGGCATCATGAACAGCGGTGTCTCCACCTCGAAGCTGAGATTGTCTCGGGATCCGGGTCTGGTGTCATTGCGACGACAGTCACGAAGAGGGGCTTCCGAATATAAGCGAGCACCTTTTCGTATGCGGGAAGGGTCGCGGGTTTGTAGTTCAGTGAATGACGAGTACTTGTCATTTTGTTTTCGAAGCAAGAAATAGCCCGTCCGAGCTGGCTAAAAGGCTTGACTGTCGGCGCGAGTGGCATGGCGGAAGAATATGATGTGGTGGAAGGCGAACGAGCGGAAGGGAGTCGAGTTGAGTCGGGGGCTGTTGAACTGTAAGCCTCTGGCGGGCTTGGAACTGCGACGTGAAGCAAATGGCGGACAAGAAGAGTGGAGTCGAGTCGTGGGCTGTTGAACTGCGCGGGCATGTGTGGGCCTTTGGCGGGGTTGGAACTGTGACATGAAGCCAATGGCGGAGAGAGAGAGAGAGAGAGAGAGAGAGAGAGAGAGAGAGAGAGAGAGAGAGAGAGAGAGAGAGCTGAGTCGTGTGGAGCTGAGTTGTGGGCTGTTGAACTGTGTGGGCCATTGGCGTGGTTGGAACTGTGACGTGAAGCAAAAGGCGGACAGAAAGCGGAGCTGCCGAGTTCTCGGTTCTCATCACGGTGTGACTGGTGTGGATCTCTCGGCTCCGTTCGTATCTTTGGGTCGGTTATCTCAGTTTCACTTGTTCTGTGCAAACTGTACGGATTGGTTCGGATGGACCTAATGCGATTGGTCGCGTGGCCAGGTAGTGTATTAGTATAGACAGGGATGCCATCTGAGTTTTATTTCCGCTTCTGATTGTCGTCTACATTTCGGTCGCTCTCTGATCGATCGCAAACGTCGCGTTACGACCTGTTGCGTAAAATGCGCACTTAATCCGCGCAGTAATCGAGAAGGCGAGTCTTGTCGTTTTGTGATTAGGCTCTTCACCGTTTAGACAGAGTGCTTTCTCGACGGAGCTTCGTCGGGTTTCAGGTGAGCTTCCTTCCGATTTCATTTTGTGCTACTTACTACCTCTCGCCGCTTCGCCGTATGTACCTCGTAAGTGCTTTGTAAATTTGCCCCGTGATTTTAGTTGATATAAATATTGAACATTCGCCCCCCCCATAATGCAAGGGCGATCTATCGATCGATCGATCGATCGATCGGTCGAGAAGACATTCGTCGATTCAAGTATTGATTACTTGATGACAAGATTTATTTGATTTTTTTAAATTGATTAACAATTACAGCCGTGGGCATGTCGCGAGTGTGTACGTGTGCGTCTGCGCGCCGTTGTTGCCGATTTCAGATACCGATTTGCAAGGTCGATCTATCGATCGATCGAGAAGACATTCGTCGATTTAAGTATTGATTACTTGATGACAATATTTATTTGATTTTTTTTAGTGATTAACAATAACAGCCGTGGGCATGTCGCAAGTGTGCACTTGTGCGTCTGCCCGCCGTTGGTGCCGTTTTCAGATACGGATTTGATCCCGATTTCAGATACCAATTTCCTCTTTCGATCGATTCAGATTCCCAACCACAGTGAGTTGCTATTTTAATTTGTCTACACTGATTTTTTTGTTTCTCCAGTTTTGTCTTTTCCGAGTGTGCTTCATCGGAGTGCGGAAAAACTCGTCTTTGGCAGCGGTACTCGTTATATTCTGTGTAGTTCGGTGACTGCGTCTACTTACTGCAGGAGACACCTTCCCTCTGTCAATTAATCACACGTCGTACCGCGTCACGGCAACAGCAGTTCGGGAGTGTATTCTGTGGATGTTACTCTCAAATGCGTGTCACTCGATGTTGCTCTCAAATGCGTGTCACACGGATCGGGTACATATCTGAGGAGGAGCTTAATGTGGCTTTGTTCGGCAGTTTTGAGACGGTGTGAGATGGTGCAATTTTGGCAGCTCGGAATGCGTGGCGGGCTGATGCTGCTCTGAAATGTCTGTCGCACGGATCTGGTACATATCTGATCAGCAGGTGCTTAAAGTGGCTTCATTCGGCAGTTTTGAGATGGAGCATTACGGGATGGTGCAATTTTAGCAGTCCGGAATGGGTGGCAGGCTGGATGTTGCGCGCAGATGTCTGTAACACGGATCTGGTACATATCTGACGAGAAGGTGCTTAATGTAGCTTCATTTTGAGATGGTGCAATTTAGCAGCTCGGAATGGGTGGCAGGCTGGCAAGAAGTGCATCGTGTTGGCCGATCAAAGTCTCTCGGTGTGCCTGTCATCGTACGTGGGTCGGTGAGACGAGATGCAGAAGGCATCCTTCCCGCAGCTATCGCCATGCAGTGGCCGTATGCCCAATGAATTCTTGCAATTCTGAACATGCTGCGAGATCGCTGTCACGGAGTGCTATTGCGGATGGAGCGAAGCGGGGGCCTTCATCATCGCGAACGGTTTTTCATCGAAGCCCTTGTCCACCAGATGGTGTGCTTTTCTGCTTTTTGCTCTTGTTTTTTTTTTGCTTTCATTTATGCATACGAGTGTGCTCTTCACCTTCAGTTCCCTGTTTTTTCTTCTTTTTTTTGCCAGTTCCCTGTTTCCCTGCCTTTCCCCCCCCCCCCCTGTTATCCGCTTCGTTTTATGTTTCCCCTTGTCTATCCCGTCCTCGTCCTCCAGAGCTCTCGTTGTTTCTTAGCCGCTTCGTTTTATGTTTCCCCTTGTCTATCCCGTCCTCGTCCTCCAGAGCTCTCGTTGTTTCTTATATCGATTCTCGTTAGCCGCTGCGTTTTCAGTTTCCTCGTCGTCTATGTGGTCCTCTTCCTTCCAGACCAACCGTTTTCCGTTTCCCAATCGTCTCTGTTGTCCTCCAGAGCATCCTTTTCCGTTTTCCAGTCGTCTATGTGGTATTCCCGACCATCCGTCTTCCGTTCCCAAGTCGTCTATGTGGTTC